TTAAACAACTATTTAAACTAAAAAAACAGTGTTTGTCATCAGTGTGTTAAACTCTAGGGCCCTTCCTCTCTCATTTGGCTGCCTGGCTTGACTGCTGCTGCACATTCTGTTTGGGGGTTTGCCCCCAATCACTAACAATTTTGTTTTATTTAAAAAAAATTTTTTTGGGTGTCGAGAATCACTTGGTGAGATGGGTGGCTATACAGAATGAACAAATTAAAACATTACTGTTCTTGTATCATTTAAAGCTTCACTTTATTATTTATTGATTATATTTGTATACTGCCTGACTTGCAACTCAGGGAAGTTAACAGGTGAAACACGAAACAAAAAGCAATAGTAAAAACAAATCAGCACCAGAGCCTTCAAACTGCAAGCAATGCAATTGACTCAACAAGTAAATCAATAAGTCCAGAATAGCCAGTACCAACATTAACCACTCAGTCTGGTAGCTGCCAGATATCATTTAAAAAGCCAGTGATCCCAGAGCATATACTTTATTGATGAGATGTGGGAAGTTTGCAAGATACAATATTAGAACCCATAATTTTATTTGGACCCTACAATGTCTTTGCTATGTAAGTAAGGTCAGAACAGGACTGCCACTGTTTGCAAAACTAAAAATAGACTTTCTGTGTAAGCCCTGAGGATACCTTCTTGATTAATCAATTTGCACGTCAAACCTGGAGAACAAATGGCATGAAATAGTTTTTCCTGACTGTTCTATAACTATGGAATTTTCTTCCTATCCAGAAACTCATCAGAAATTTGAGTGTTTGAAAAAAAGATTATAAATAGCTATTTAACAAACAAGGGCCTTATCTCATGGCTTTGAACTGTTGACATACCGTATATTACAGAATGTAACTGCAATTTCAATTTCTATTTAAATATATGCAATACATTAATTTAAGCTGTTATTCTTATTCAGCCCTAAGGAAAGTTAGCAGGCCAAAAATGGAATGAAGGAAAGAAATATTAAAACAATCACACAGATTCTAAGCACTCTCCATCCTCCCAACTGTATCTGCAGTTGACATACTCTCCGGAAGAACATCCAATCTATTTCAGACCAAGGGGCACCATCCTCTATTCCTTGTGTTCACATCTTTGGTTCCTGGATTGGTCCATCAGGAAGGTGAGGTCTGTTGGATCAGTTTGTCCAGGAGCCTTCTGGATCCTGGTACTTTACATAGAATGGGGAGTTTCCTGAGATTGTGTTGAGCTGTTAAACTGAGATTTTAGTCAATACTTTGAATGAATGGAGGATGACAGCCTTTCATTGGATTGCTCTTAAGCAGCATCTCTCTGTCTAGCAATCCTAAATGCCTCTTGGTTTACTGAGAAGTTCTAGGAAATGAAGCAACAGGAGAAACATCTATGGCACTGTTGGAGAAAAACTGGGAGCAACTCTGATTAGACAGGTAGAAGACTTTAGATTAAGGAGTATCTTATGTCAGTAAGAGCAATAAAACATGATTTTTTTTCACTCTTAGCATACGTGCCACCCAAGTGACCATATTCATGGTAAGCTGTACTTTTTTAGAAAGCGAATGTCCTGATGAATATCTTAGAGATGATGTGAGGGCCGCACTAGGTTTCTGATAGGTACAATCATGCTGGTTATTATTTCTGACTAGGAGAATCCCACTGAAGTGGGTTAAGCTCTATTATCTGGGAGGAGTTGAGCCTATCAGTCTTGAAGAATTGCATAGGGTTTTCTGAGCTGTGAGTGAAAGTCATTCAAAGTCAATCATTCAAAGTAGGTAAGATCAGGAAATAGAAACAGCAAGGATTCCAAGCACGCATTTTATTGCTATAAGGTAGCAGAATAGAATCCTGAAAGCCTGTCAGAGCTCTTTCTCTTTCCAAACAAGATCAAGGTAGGGATATTTTGAGTTTCTTTTCACTTTCTTGGGGCTGAGTTATCTTTTGTTTTTCCGTCAGTGATTCATTGTTCCCTTTTTCTTTTTGAAGGCCAAATCCAGACCCTTTAGATCCATGTTTCTTGTGATTAATCAAAGCCATCTGGGAGAGGACACATGGTTAGGTCCAGGTGGCAATGAATTTATCTTTGAAAGAAGCAGTGATATCCCCCTTCCTTGTCACTGGACCCAATTACGCTAGATATTTTTTCTCCAAACTCCCTTGAGGGGCGGAATCAAAGAGAATGGGCTGCAGTTCCAGGGAACCTTGGATTAAGGAGATTGTGGAGTATGGGATGCTTCTCAGTAAGGATTCAGACTGGAGAATAGTGCTGAGATAACTTAGTGGATGATCTCTGGTGGGCTGGGGATGATGTAATTCTCCTGCTCGTCCTTGATCTTGATGTGGCTTTTGATACCATTTATCATAGCAACACTTGGACTAGCTTTGGGAGTAGGGGGCACTAATTTATAGTAGTACTTCTTGATAATCTAACCAGTTGAAATCTTGATACACTGATATGTTGATAAGATAGAAAAAAATGTGGATTAGACAGTACCATCATCAGATGAATGAGTAATTGGTTAACCAATCACGCTTAAGATTAGTCCTTAATGGAACTGCATCTACATGAAAGGAAGTATGCAGTGGGCTATTTCAAGGCTCTGTTTTAGGCCCAGTAGACTTCAGTATCTTCATAAATGATTTAAATGAGGGGATAGAAGAGGAAGTCATCAAATTTGCAAATGAGCTGGCAGGAATAGACAACACTCCAGAGCATAGGCTCAAGATACAGATGGATTTTGACAGACTTAAACACTGACTGAGCTGTATCAAACAAAATGAAATTCAGTGATGAGAAAAGTAAAAGTACACACTTAGGCAAGAAAAACCAAATGCACAGATATAGAATGGCTAGTATCTGGCTCAGTAGTAGTAACTGTGAGAGGGATCTTGGGAGTCCTAACAAACAATCACTTAAACCTGAGCCAGCAATGTATGGCAACCAACAGAAAAGCTTACACAGTCCTAAACTGAATCAACAGACAGACTCAAGATCATATGAGGTATCTGTAGTACTTTATAATGCCTTGGTAAGACCACATTGGAACATTGCATCCAGTTTTGCTCACCACAATATTAAAAAAAGATGTTGAGATTCTAGAAAGAGTGCAGTGAAGAGTAACAGATATGATTAGGGAACTGAAGGCTAAAACATACGAAGAACTGTTGCAGAAATTGGGAATATCTAGTTTAATGAAAAGAAGAACAAAGAGTAACATGATAACTGTGTTCCAATATTTGAGGGGCTGCCATAAAGAAGTGGGGGGTGTCAATCTGTTCTCCAAATCACCTGAAGGCAGGAGAAGAAGCAATGAATGGAAACTAATCAAGGAGAGAATCAACCAGAAATAAGGAGAAATTTCCTAATGGAACAATTAATCAATTGCTTGCCTTCAGAAGTTGTGGGTGCTATCTATGGAAGTTTTTAAGAAGAAATTGGATAACCATTTGTCTGAAATGGTATAGGGCAGTGGCCCTCAACACTTGGGCACCAGGGACCGGTTCTGTGGAGAGAGTTTTTTCTGCAGACTGGAGTGGGTGTGGTTTTGTGTAAAAACATGAATAGTTATGAATACATGGATACATATAAGAAAAATAAAAGAAACAATAGGACAGGGGCGGTAGGCACATTGGTGCGCTTATGCACGCCCCCTACAGACCTCTTAGGAAAGGGGTGAGGTCAATAGTAGAAAGTCTGTCTGCATCCCATGGATGGGGCTTCGATTGTTTGCACAGCCAGGTTTTTGGTATACCGCGGACCAGTCCTGGTTGAGCAGGAGGTTGGACTAGAAGATCTCAAAGGTCCCTTCCAACTCTGTTATTCTGCTTTCTTTGGGATAACTCCATTCAGTAGTTCCATTTTGGGACTAATTCCACCTTTCCTTGTAGAAAGGGAGAGATAGAATTTCATGGTTTGGATCTCTTATTCCTATTTAATCTATTTAACCTATTCTTATTTAACATCTACCAGAGATTGTTGGGGGAGGTTATCCAATGGCATGGAATCAGGTATTATCAGTATGCTGATTTGTACATTTGTATATTTTGTACATCTTAATCCCTGGCCATCCAAGCAACATTATCAATGTTCTATCCCAGTACCTGGAGACTGTTAGGATGTAGGAGGGGAGTTAACAAGTTTAGGTTTAACCCTACTCAGGCCATTTGGATTTTTACCCATTGAGCACAATCGGAAATGCTCTGTATTCTTGCCCAAACATAACGTCTTCTGTCTCCAATAGGCACAGCATTCTTTGGAGCATTTGTTTTAAAAAGTATTATTTCTAACTGTAGAAAGCAAACAGAGTACAATTTTTGTAAAATATAAAACTATTTTGAGAATTCATTCGTTCATTTGTTGATTTGTTCATTCAATTTCTATAGCTGCCTACCTCAGTCAATGACTCTGAATGAGTTGGAGAGTGCACAATAAGTAAGTGAATAATCAATGAATTTGTTTTCACTGATACTCACCCAATGTGGTTTGTCCTCAAGGATATCTCTAATTCCCGAAGAACCTGGGTAGATTCTTGAACTCGTCTCTTAAACTGGGTAAAGAAAGCATATAAAATTAAAAACCCATATAAATTACAAATCTGGCATATATTTATCTAGCTATATATGCATTATATAATGTCCTGGGTTTGAAAAAGTATCTACACATCAATGGGAAATAATATAGGTAGCATTAGGAATTTCAGACTGTGAATATGTCTTGCAATCAATACTGAATTACAACACTATGTTTTTTTACTGATTGCATTTTTATATTGATTGCAGGAAGACTATGGTTATGAGCAAAGAAAAATCATACAGCCACAGAGCAAATGATGAAAGTACCCTAATAAAGAGATATGTTCCAATATTTTTCACATTTGTTCAATAGTCTTAGTTATTCAAAATTTAAATCACTAAGACTATAGGAACTGTGAGTTTCTGGCAGGTATATCAAAGCATACAAATCATTCAAAACTGATAAATTTTTATTACTAAAATGTGGATCTTTAAGAGTCAAGCTTTTTGATAGAAAATGCAGGTGTGTGATATCAATTAAGAGAGTGATTCCAATGCATCTCCTCAACCTAAGGCTGTCTGAGCATGTCCTATTTTACTCATAGCACAATGATTCCTGCAAATTATACTTCCATGTTTCTGGCCAGATCCAGAAAGAAATATTGTGCATGTCTTTTGTGTTAGATGCACAGGTGTTGCTATAGACAATTTAGAAAATGTAAATGTGCTTCCCATCCCCCCTGCCCCACATCCCCTGTCAGGCCTGTATCATCACTTGCTCTGTGTAAAGGATCCTGTGACTTCATTTCTTTTTCAATAATGCTCATTGTATTTTATCTACAATTGCTTTCATTGTTTGCAAGCTAGTGAAGGATTGTTTCTCTGAAATACAAATAGCTGCAATAAATAAATAATAAATAAATTTGTAACTGCGTGCAGAATAGCAATTTCTACTCATTCAGGAAATCAAAAAGTTACTTTAAAAAAAGATCAGCTTTATTTGCCTGCTGAAGATTTTTGTTTGGTTGTTTTTTGTTCTGTTTTTCCTAAAAGTAAAAGCAGTTTTAGGGAAGAAAACTATGACAAATGGCTGCTAGTGGTTTTTCAGCAAAAGGACATCTTTCTGACTTTTACTGTATGTAAAAGTAGACAGCCTGGGTCTGATAAGGTCATCTTTTCAGAGATATTTCCTTACTAGATTCCTCAACTGTGATAGAATGTCTAATTAGTGCTTTCACTGGAAAAAGCTGGAATACATTCAGATATATATCTGCCTGAAAATAGTCCATGTTGAATTGTATAGCACAGTCAAACATCAGCACAGGAAATGTCTTATTCTATTTTGTATTATGTCATAAAGCATTTTATGATTATTTTTATGTCATAAAATGTTTTATAAAGTTTGCCACATTTGAAATCTACAGGAGTCACTGGTCCAAGATTTTGGACACGTTCTGTAAATTAATCCACTTGAGGTATATTGGTTCCAAAATTATTGCTCTATGATGCTGTATTTTGCCTAATTAAAGGTTATGGGAATGAATATTTTAGACATATATAGATTAGCTACAAGTTACCTTTCCACTGAATCCACCTGTGTCTAAATAGCTCTTCAGTTTCTGGATATAGGCAGATGGCGGGTTTTTGACCTGGAATCGTTCCTACAGATAGGCAAAGATAGGATGGAAGAAGAGAAACAACACTTATTTTCATTAAATCCATGAGGAATACAGAGGGTTCTGAAAAGGCAAACATGTTATGAGGACAGGCAAGTTAGGTATCGCTTTTTATCTTTTGGTAGCAGATGCTGAGGACACTATTGTTAAACATAGACATATTGCAGGTTTGGGTTTGCTTGTAAGAAGGTCGCAAAAGATGATCAGATGACCATGGGACACTACAACCTCATGAATATGAGTCAGTTGCCAAGTAGCTGAATTTTGATTGACCATGGAGTTGCTGCAAAAGTCATAAATCTAAAAAATGGTCATAACTCACCTTTTTCAGTGAGTTACTGAGATTTTGAACAGTCACTAAACAAACTGTTGTAAGTTGAGGACCACCTGTTCCCCACCAGTTTCGATCATAACAATACCCATCTCTTAAAACACCCTTAGCCTGCAAAGTGTACACTTTGGAATGTGCTTTCAAAGTTCTATGGTTTTCACCCAACTCTGGTCATTGCAAACTGTAAACTTTCTAGAATCAGTGGATCTGTAAAAAGAGGTTGCAGATAATCCCTTCCATACACACGGTTTAAATATAAAATTCAAATCATTTAGTCCCGTTTAAGTCCTCCCTGCTTTTTCCCCCCCATAATAACTGCATTGCATCACCACAATATGACACAATGTTTCACAAGAGTGATTGTGTGCTGCCTCCTGTTCTTATTTTCTGAAGCACAAGTGCTGAAGCATTTGCTTCAAAAGATTATGCAATAATTAAAGAGGATAAATTGTTAACATTGTACAAGTTTAAAACTTGGACGTGTGATTGAATTAAAGTGTCTAGGAAATAGAGTAAGGCAGGAACGTCCTCAGACTATGGTAAAAGCTTCTACTTTATTTTAGCTCTCACCATTTTGGTGTTTTTTTTTTAACCACTCCCTGCAGACATCCCCGGAGCAGTTCATGAAAAAATGAGACAGTTGACAAAGTGATGTGTATGTGTACATACATGTTTAAAAAAAGGAATTGTTCTTTGTATGCCTGTTGGCTAATGCTTTCTTGAATTATGTGCTTGGGAAAGAATTTTTAATTCTACATATTTATGATAGTTTTGCAGAGTGTATGTTTAAAACATTGGCCTGCAAAAAATCTGAATGATCAGAAGCATTCATCTTGTCTTTTGTAGCCTGAGGTCTAAGAGATATGAAAAATTCAAAAACTCAGCTGCTCCCATCTGCAAAAGTGAGGGTGCTGCTTCCAGCATGCCTTTCAGATCCATAAAAGAACCCCTTTCTTTACAAGTGGATGACCCCGAGATGCCAATGGTAGGGCAGAAAATAATCTTTGTGGTGGATACGGGCAGACATCAGCTTACAATCATTTGTTTAGAGACTGATCAAAGTTGCAATAGCACTTTAAAAAGTGACTTGTGACCATTTTTTGCACTTACAACCATTGCAACTTCCCCATGTGATCAAAACTCAGAAACTTGACAACAGCCATGTATTCACAATAGTTGCAGTGTCCCAGGATCACGTGATCATGTGACCCTTTTGCAACCTCCTGACAAGCAAAGTCAATGGGGAAACCAGATTCAACTAACAACCATGTTACTAAACTTTAAAACTGCAGGGATTCCCTTAACATCTGTGGCAAGAATGTGTGTAAAATTGGGCCAAACGTAACAACTGTCTTGCTTAGCAACGGAAATTTTGGGTTCAATTGTGGTCATAAGTCGAGGATGACCTGTAATTAGAAGCTGTTCATGCATCTTCAACATTGTTTTACATAACTATTGAGGTAAATGGTTTGACTCATGGCAGGGCTGCTCCCTCTTTGTTTATTTGTTCCATTTTTCTGTGAGCTACATTCTGTATCCCTTGGCATTTTTCATTAAGAATTTCATTTACAACACAACAGCAGAATTAACTAGGCTTCCTGGGGGCAGTATGCTTAGCACATTGATTTTGTTCAGTCACTAAGTTGTGCCCAACTTTTCACAATCCCATGGACCAAAGCACGCCAGGCTCCTCTGTCCTCCCCAATTCATGTTCATTGCATCAATGAATGCCAGATACTAAGCTTAATTTGAAGCAGGACACAGGCGTTATTTATTTAATGGTTTAATTCAGGAGTGTCAAACTCGCATTGTCACAACAGCATCACATGACTTATCAGCACTTTTTTCCCTTTCTCTAAATCAGGCGTGGGCATGGCCAGCACATGACGCCTCTGGCCCGGGAGTTTGACAGCCTTGGTTTAAATGATCTGTGAACTCACCACTTGCTAATCTAATTAGGAGTCAATATGTTTTCACTTAGCAACAAGTGACTGAGTTAAATGTTCTGGGTGAAGATAGCTATACAGGGGCCATTTATGTCCTCCCAATCAAAGATCAACAGGAACATCTATACTATCCACACTGCCACTTCCTATATGATTCATGCTAAGTGAAGACCAAGCTTTTTTCGTGGGGTCCATCACTCACTCAGCTGTGAGCTAAAGCAGACACGAATAAGTTCTACTTCACAAGGATCCTGTGACCTGAGATCATTCAATCACAGAACAGTGAGTGAGGCATTTTCTTGATTCCTAACTGCCCACCCAATGAACACCTTAAGATAACTCTCTGAATTAAAGGTCATTAGGAAATCACCCTGTGCCAGAGCTGTTTTAGCAGATCTTTGAAGAACTGGATCACAGAGACATTCGCATAGCCCAGAATGAGTCATTCTTCTCTTTTTCTCTTCAGCATCATTCGCAAGCCTGTATCTTTATTAAACTGAGGAATATATAGTTTCACAGCATGAACAGGTGCCATTTCCCCCATGTGTCTCTGCCAACAGCTTGTTTTCACAAGGGACCCTTAAGTAACCACCTTCCTTGTTTAACTCAGAATGGAGAAACATCATTTCTTCATCACTACTAAACTGATGATGGCAACTCAAAAGAAGGAACAGCTGTTTGTTTTGACACAGCCACTTTCATATGTACCCATTTAGCTTTGGCAGGATTCTGAAATGTTTCAACCAAGGTGATAGTGGATTGATTTCTTTCTTTCTTTCTTTCTTTCTTTTCTTTCTTTCTGCTTAGATTTGTATCACGGTGTGGCTACTTTAATTTTGGCTTAGCAGAAAGTGTGAACCTCACAAACAATGGTTTAGACAAAAAACCAATTTAATATTAAATATGAGTCCAGTGAAAAATGCTTCTTTTGATGCCACTTTTGGTTCACCTGGATAGGTACAAACAGACCTAAAGCATACTGCCCCCAAGAAACCTAGTTAATTCTGCTGTTGTGTTGTAAATGAAATTCTTAATGAAAGTAAATCTGATTTAATGTAGAAAATCTGATTTAGTGCTCTGACAAACTGGTGTACTTCCTTTTAACCCAAATGCAATGCAGTGAGATTTGACTGAGAGGTTGAAATCTGCCTAGCAGATCTTCTGAATTTATACTTTTGGCCTTATTCAAATAGCTAATGAAAGCATGTGACCAGGGATAAAATTATGCTTATTGCTTCTATCCAAAATAAATTTCTGTTAACACCTGAAGGACAAATTGGTATCCATAGAAAATTAGATGGTTGTAAAGAGCAAGATAAGTGTACATGGTGAATGCAACCAGAACCTCATAAATTGGTCTTCTCAAAGGCTAAGCTACTTGTATTAGGACATCAACTCTGAACTCTGATGCCTGTGATCCTTGACAGATCTACTTAAGGTATTTTATTTTCCTCTAACAGTTTCCTGTGGGAAAGTAAAGATAGAAATAGCCTTGTTTATCCAGTCTTCTGAAGGACAAACCACACTAGACCTCTAATTATACTGAACTGCCACAGGTGTCCTATCATGGATCCTTGACATTTATCATGTTAGGTAAGAGCTAAAACAAGCATGACTATAATACTATTCACAAACACCAAAATGCTTGTGGAATATCCTTCACTGCTTGTAAGTTCTCTGCCCAAACCTATGTTTTAGACCCTTTCTTTTAAAAATAAAATAATAGGTAGGTATCAAGTTGCAAACCAAAGCTACAGACTTTCATATAATCCTTTGTTTGGAAACACATCTTTACCTATTAAGAAAATAGCACCCTCAAAGGTAAATTTAGAGGGGGCGAGAAATGCCTAAAGGCAACTTCAAGAAACACATTTAACATTTTTCTAAGCATTTTGCTATTGGTTCTTCCCTTTATAATAGCCACAGAATACTTTAGAAGATTGATTGCTTGTCATCGCATCTTCTCATCACTCCTTATCACCCATCCCCTCCCACTTGTGACTGTATGACTGTAACTTTATCGCTTGTATCCTTACGATTTATATTGACTGTTTCCTAGTATGATTTGATTGCTTATTGTAGCCTATGACTATCACTAAGTGTTGCACCCTATTCTATTCTATCAAAAAATCAGAAATGATCACCAGCCACAGATACGACGACTCCCAAATTCTCAAGTGTATCAGGAGCTTTGACAATTAAACCACCTTGGAGGCTATTTTAAATTATGATTCATATAGCTACTTTAAATAGAGCAGTCCATCTCTTACCTGGTCACATATTAATTCCCATTTCTTTTCATTGTCATACTGGCCCAGAAGCCTCATTTTGTCTGGTGGCAGATTCATAGAATTCTAAAAAAAAAAAAAAAAAAGGGGGGGGGGAAGAAGAGAAAGTTTATTGTTTATACAGAATAATTGCATAACAAGAATTGCGATATGATCAACCACGTAAAAGTTTTTCATGCAGGAAGTCCTCGGCTTATGAGCACAGTTTAGCCCGAAATTTATGTTGCTAAGAGAGACATTTGTTAAGTGAGTTTTGTTCCATCTTACAACCTTTTTTGCCACAGTTGTTAAGTGAATCACTACAGCTGTTAAGTTAGTAACATGGGCATTAAGTGAATGGCCTTGTTGGAAGGTTGCAAAAAGTAAACAAATGATCCTGGGAGATTATAACTGTCATAAATATGAGCCAGGTGCCAAGCATCTGGATTTTGATCATGTGATCATGGGAGTCTTGCAATGGTCATGTGTAAAAAAAAAACGATCACTTTTTTCAGTGCCACCGTAACTTTGAACGGTCACTAAATAAATGGTTATAAGTTGAGGAGAATCTGTAATGCTGGAGAAAATAGGCAAGGCAACAGGAGAGCAATTTGAGGGTACACAGAGAAGGCTTCAGCTGTGCAATCATAACTTTCATCTTGAGGGGTTTATTTTTTGTCTCCAAATGTCTCTGCTTTAAGTTGTACGAGGGATTTATTTGACCCATTTATAGTGAGTTGCTCCCACAACCTTTTCATCCAAGTTTTCTATGAAACTATACTTAATCCATTTTCTTTATTTTTACCAGACAATCTTAATGCAGATACAAATATATTCCATGCTAGGAGATCTTCTGCAGAGATTCTTTGTTCTGTGTCAGCAGCATCTGATACTTGGGGGTGGGATGGAGGGAATTCCCCTCTTATGGTTATTTCCTCTAAGGATTTTTTTTGTACTTCTGAAAGTTGTTAGAATTGGTATTTTCCTCTTCTGTATGGATGATGCCATTTTGGCTTATTATAAGAGGCTCGTACCTAAACATCCACTATAGGGGGAAAAATCAGTTCTGTACAGGGACGGCAACAGATAGCAAGTGGGGCTAGTGGTTAATTGATGAGGAAAAAGGAATAATATAAATGCAGAGGGTGGGGAATCATTTCCAGGGATCATCTTAAGAGCAATTTTAAAAATCTGGCTCCTCTAAATTGTATGATTTGAGTGTACATTTTCCATTTTTATTTGAGCTTCCCAGAGTCCATAATAGGGACAGCAGTTATATGCTGTTCTCCACCTTCCACTTAAGGTAGGAGAATATCTGCACTGCAGTATGGAAATTCCATTAAATGGAAATTAAACTTTCCTTGGGATGACCTGCTAAATTAAGTCTACCAATAGTCGCATGCTACTCAAAAGGACTAGCTCATTGTATAAAGCCAAATAATGCTCATATTCATGGACTGGTGTGTTCCTCTTTTGCTTCAACATAAAGAACAACAACAAAAAAAGAAGTCTTTGACTCCTTGTGATTATGCTTGAATGAAATCAGCATGTATTTTGAGGAGATTATCTCAGTGGCAGGAAGTTGCAGGCTGGCTGGGTGTTTGGTTCTTGCAACCATTCTTTCTCAACCCAACCTGTTCTCATTTCCCTAACAACTTGCTGATTGAACCATTCCACGCAGGATGGAAAAACAGACCATTGGTCAAAACTGACTGGTGATGTGCCAGTTTCCTTAACAACAGAAAACACAAATAAAGGTGAATATTTATTTGATTGATTGATTGATTGATTTGATCCGTCAATCGCTTACAAGATAATAGGTATAAGGATAAACTTAGTTATGGATACAAGAAATGAGTACATATAAGAAAAATAAAAGAAACAATAGGAGAGGGACGGTAGGCACTTAGGTGGGGGTTGAAATTAGGGGTCCTTGATGCTCTCTGAGCTTGTGCTAGTAACTGATTATGTTAATTTGTTAGGTTAATGAAACACCTGTAAGAAAGCAATCAGGCTCACAGAGCACAGAAGACCACTCCCCCCAAAAACACTAAATTAAATAAAAACTTTCCTTGATCCATGTGAAAAGGTTTTCTTGGCTTCCAATACAGATTTACCAAATCATCTACTCTGAGTTGAAATTATCTCAAATCATAATTAATTAAGTTCCTAGTTTAAGCCTTTATCTTAACCCTTTAGTTTGATTTGAGATTGCCTTAATATAGTCTGCAAGTAAAATGAACTATCAAGGAAAAAAAGACTGAAAGATATCCAAATTTCTTAAAGCAGCTAGCCGGTGTTCAAAAATGAATCCTTTATCTAGGTTTGCCAATTTTAATTCGCCTAATGAACATATGCTTCACTTAATAGTGATTTGCTTAACACTCGCAAAAAAAAAAATTCATAACATCAGGCACGGCTCACTTAACTACCTCACTTAGCAACAGAATTTCTGATCCCAACAGTGATTATAAGTTGAGGAATACCTGTATATCATTTCATGAATGTGAAAAAAGTAATGTCAGAGAAATAGTACTATAGTAAAATGAAATTAGGCTTATTTGGTAAGAAGTGGCATAGTTTCTTAGACAGTTTAACGTTTTGCTGTTCCTACACCAAAAGGATAAATATCTATATATTATCTAATTTCTTATTAGTACTTTTCTTGGTAGAGATGTGTATGCCTGGGGGGAGTGGGAGAAATATGTTATCTTTCATCCATCTAAAGGATCAGCTGATGATAAACAATTAAAACTGTATGTAACTGTGACATGAACATATAGCAAAAATAAGTATGTCATCAAAAATCTCCAACGGTTAATTCCTCCTCCTCCTCCTCTTCCTTTCCCATTATAAACTCTGTCCAATGATCAATTTCTCCTTTCCCCGTTCTCTCCCCAAGTGTTAATTCTTGGAAACGGTAATCCAAGTTGGAGAAAGGCATTGCCACCAATGCCCAATTCGAATGAAGGCACTGTGATTGTTGGGATGGAATGCTGATGACGTCTCCCAGAGCAGCATTCCATCTCCCTTGGCAAAAGTCATCCCGTTGAAGGACCAAGTTCATTTTGACTTGAAAACCAACTTAAAAGCAGTAGAAGTGAACATATAAAAAAAACAACTTTCTTTAAAATGCTTAAAAATCAGTCAATATCCACTTGAGCATCTTGACCAGATCTCCTCTTTACAGCAGCATTTTTCAATCTCAGCAACTTTAAGACACGTCAACTTCAGAGAACTACAACTATTCCTCAATTTATGATCACAACAGAGCTCAAAATTTCCATTGCTAAGCAACACCGTTGTTAGGTGACTTGTGCTTTATTCATATCGGGGAATGCTCTATAATGGCCTCATAGATCTCTTGAATATTAGGAATATGTGATTTTGAGACTACAGGAATTTCCATCTTAGTTACTATTAATAGCAGCCATACTGAAAGAAGCTGCTGGCATTCAAATTACCAGGCTATCACAAAAACTGTCATAATATAGAAATCAATAGATCTTCGCCATCTGAAATGAAAAGGAAGAATTCCAGCTCTTTCAGAGGAAACTCATAACAAGAAAACATATAATGCATCATCATCATCATGTTGATGTTTGTAGAGCTCATATAGCTCATATAGCTGACTCGCAGTTCAGCTCTATGGCATTCGCCTGCTTCCATGGCATCATTGCATGATTAGATGATAAGGTGATACAAGGTTCACTGATATAGGAGGCCTGGAAGTTCAAATCTGGCTCAAGCTGCAATCCTAATCTAGTGACAGAACATCAGAATTGAGGGGAGCAAGCCATCTTTGGAACAATCTTTTCCATGAGACCTCAGAGCCACATCCCTTTACGTTTCAAGAATATAGGGTCCTAACCAGATCCTCTTTAAATGACCTTAGCAGAATTGACAGAACAATTCAGAATAAAATTGTATCTTATTCAGCTTAGTACTGTGCCATGCACAAATTCGTAGGTCATTATCAGAACTCTACTAGCATCCAGTACAGTGACTTCAGAATAAGTGCTATATTATGGACCAGTTACAGCTTCCAAGTCATCTTCAAAGATAGCTTAATGCACTGCAGTAGTGAAGACACAAGGATCACTGTAATTTATACATGGTGTTGGTTACTGGAAACCATGTAGGTAACTAAGCATCACAAACATAGCAACTTCTGCTTGGGAGCTAGTTTGTAGATCTGGTTTTTATTTTGCTACACTGCATCTTTTAAAACATGTCCATCAAACGAAATCTCATTCAAAATTTATACAAGTGGTATGAAATAAGAGGTCCTACCACAAATGGCTTTTGTAAATGGGTCAGTTGATATACCAAATGGCAGGGCAGTCTAACTCACCTGTGAATGTATCCAAAAGCAATCAGACTTAAATTTGTCAATTTTGATGTGAGCTGATAAAATATTATAAAAATATCACAATTGCCAAGAGTAAGTTCCTGCCAAAATTTCTATCCAGCAGAAGTTAAGAAAGACTTTCTCCAGATGATCAAAAGCTTTGTGACAGTATTATTAATTGGTGTTTGACTTTGCTTATAACAATTTATTCATTGATTTTCTGATATTTTCTGCTGTGTGCCCTAGCCTAGACAATAAAACTCACACTTTTTAGCCTTATTATACCATTCCATTACCTCATTTGGGTGATGATTACTAAAAAGAAATGTGAATAATTTTGCAATTTAGTTTTTAAAAGGGTTAATGATTGATAAAGTTTCCAGTTTAGGAATGATTAGGATTTTTGTGAGATAGCTTCTAGAGAAAGCTATTAAGTAAATAATGGTTTCTTAAGATAATGAATGACACAGATATTTATCATTGACTTTTGTTCAAGTGAATAGTCCATTTATGGGCCACATCCAATTCCAGGAGATCCTCATATACATGTGCTCTAACACTGTACCTCGCCTGGAACCCCTAAAGCCAGTTATCTTCACTGGAAGAAATATACAAATGGTATTGTATGGCTGGAGAATTCTAGTGAGGCAAATACCCTTGGACTAAGTGCTTACTCTAGGCCATACCAGTTAGGTCTATAGTGCAAGACATCTAGAGGGGAATAGATTGCACTATG